CACTTCGAGATTCTTATGTCTCTATTACTATTATAATATACTTAATCTACTTCCTATATATATTTCTCGTACGACTATTTCGTCTATCTGATTTATATAGGATTTACTATTAGCTTGAGAGGTGAGTTCAAGGTTTCGTAATTTCCTTATAGTCTATTTAAACTACTCCTCAAATATCTTATACTTGGAAAAGGGAAATATCGAAGAAAAAGATAATCCAAACAATATATACTGATTTACAAGCGATTTCCGTTTTAATTATTTCCTATTGTTATCGGGTTTTGGGGTTTTTCCCCATTTGTTTATACCTCATGATTTTCTCTATGTTCATCGTCGGATAGTTCTTGTGCCTTTTAAACACAGCGATGGGTATTTTACTTTCATAAGCCTCCCTTTTTATCTCATTTTCTTCCCTTTCATCATTAACCTTTATATTCTTTCCCGAAATAATTTTTAGTAACGAGATCAGTAGGCATATTAATTTATAGAGGTCCGCTATTATTTGACTTCTAGAGCGGCTTGTTCCTGGATTGTGTATGTTTCCGTTATCCACTTTCGTTCCCTCCTTATGTATGGGTTCAACATTATCTATTATCTTCTCTCGTTTTTGAGCCGTTGATTTCTCTGGGAATTCTTTTTCTTTCCTAATCTCTTGACAAATTTTCATGTTTCCATTTAGTTCTGTTTTCTCAATGGAGTCACTACGAATTTTCTTTTCATTATCTTTGTTACGCCCTAACTCTATATCCTTAACCCTATTGTTTATTTCATCTTTACTGGCCTTATGCTTAGTTTTTGTCACTATGTGTTCGTTCTTATTGGACCTTCGGCTGGAAGACACTCGAACACTCCTCAATACGCTTCTTTCCGAATATCGTAAGTCGCCTCCGCTTTGATTTCTATTTCTCTCTACTCTAACTTCTTTTTATAATAATTATCTCTTGGTGACTTAGATGAGCAATAATGTACTTCCTTTTTATTTGGCAGTATAATCATTCCATCATGATTATCTATTTCTATTTGCTCCTGCTGTAATATGTCCCGTCTGATTATGCCCATGCACGAAGCGGTGACCTCAGAACTCACTACTTTACATGTATTGGTAAATTTATGGCCTCGAAGTTTGAATATGGGTATCGCAACACCTATTGTCGGAATCGCCTTTCCGGGGCGCAGATCTACTTTGTTCTTTTCTCCAAGGATTACGGATGCTCTACCTTCCAATCGTTTCGC